GGGATTCGTCATGTTGGCTTGACGTCACCCCACGCTATTAGAGCATAAGCCTTAAGCCGTCGCATTGCAGCATGCCACAATCAGTGGGCTTGACAGTCGAAAACTTGTACATGCTGTACATGTGACACATCTTCGGTATCTACCTAGCTATTTTGTACAACGTGCGTGAGTGAGCACGTAAATCAAAACTTATCAACAAATTCCAATACTAGAAATATTCATTATTTCTTTCAATAACCATAATGCTAAGAGAATAGTTATAAATATTTTATAAGTTTACGAAATATATGTTTTTAAGAGAAACTTTTCATAATTTTTTAATATAAATATATGATATAATTCATTAAATTCTAAATAGGGAGAATGTTTTTTGCTAAATTTCTTGGAAATGCGTACAAGTTGCTAATAAGCAAAGTACGTATAAGTTATCTATAATGCAAAATGCGTGCAAGTTGTCAATGTGTAAAATACGTGCAAGTTGTCAATTTGCAGAATGCGTGCAAGTTGTCAATTTGCAGAATACGTGTAAGTTGTCAATGTGCAAAATACGTGCAAGTTGCTATTTTTATTTAATTTTTGTAATATACTCTAAATAATTTACGGGTACCTCAGACTACATCAAGTAAACTTTTAGGGGACATTAGCGAGTAAGCCTAACCTAGAATCTTGCATCGAAACAGGTTAAAAACATTTTCCGGCTTTTTGAAATCAGTAACTTACGGGTGCCTCAGACTACATCAAGTAAACTTTTAGGGGACATTAGCGAGTAAGCCTAACCTAGAATCTTGCATCGAAATAGGTCAAACTACTTTTGTAGAAAATATTGTTTTGGGTTTTTAGGAATGACATATATTTATTCTATTATTCATTTACATGACATGGTTTAAATACAATATTTTTATTTCTTTAAGTTATATTTTTATTTAAAATAAAATTTCTTACATTTAGCTAATACAATTTAAATGAATTAATATCTGAAATCTTGCTTGCTTTCCAGTCGAGGATGCTTTTCACGAGATAGTAGTGTCGCTGTCATAACACCTTCGCGATTTTGCTCTAATACGCGTTTTTATACATTAGCCAGTAATTGAACATGTCTCTCAGTTCCCTGAATGTGGACCGGAATTTTAGGGTCACTCCATGGACACTCATTGCTTTGTAAATATTGTACTAGATGTTCTTGTTAATATTTAGCGTAAAGGCTGGTTCGGATATATTTGAATAATCATCCATATCTATCATATTAGTATAGTCGGTGCATTCGAAATTTATTTCGGGTGTTTTGTAATCTCTCAATTGCGTCAGGTCTTCCACATTATTATGGTAATATAAGATTTTTCTTATAGCTGAATCTCGTATTTCCTTTTTATTATCAAACAACATTGCTAATAAAATATTTTCCGAGTGAGCATAGTATGCGTTTTCTTTAGCAACATTGTTCACAATTTGTCTTAAATTCGAGTCTAACTAGCTGTAAGTGGAATTCTTTCTTGAGGCAATTATGGCATCGTGCCTTAAGGCAAATTGCTGGAACTTCCCGTACCGTAACGAAATGTTCGAAAAATACTGAATGTTTTCAAATAGATTATTATAAATATTGTAACATTGTCTAATATTTATGAGAATTATATAAACTGAATTGCAGAGTTGAAATTATTTGTAAAGTATATTAGAACTATAGTCAGAATTATTTTATATGTATGTATATTTTCGATATACAAAAAACTAAAAAAAAAAAAAAAAAAAAAAAAAAAAAAAAAAAAAAAAAAAAAAAAAAAAAAAAATGGAACAAAATTTTTTTTTCCAAAATCAATTATTTTACTAATTGAATGTTTTTTAGATCATTCAAATCGGATACTCCGTTCTCTCAAAAATTCGATTTCTATTTTCTGCACTCTTTGCTCCGTATCTCCGAAACGGCTGGACCTGCCTTTGCCAAAAACTAATCAGCTCTTTTCCCTATCAATAGGAATCGAATGTTTTTTGAACCATTCAAATCGGTTGATCCGTGCGCCCTAAAACGTGACTGAAAATTTGTATCCATACATACATACACATACACACACACACACACACACACACATTCATTTTTTCTGAGGTATGCCAAAACGTTCAGAAATCTTCAAAACGTCGAGAAATGTTAAAATTTTCAATTCCGATTTTCGGCCCATTACAATAACTTACCCTACGGGAAGTTAAATATTGCGTCTAATACAATAATATACTAACATACACCACAGAGTTGTAATATTTAATGTTATAATACATTGGAATATATACTTTCATTACGTAGTTTGCCAGAATTTTCAAATTTTTGGATGGCTTATTAGTAGTTACATATAACCGAAGTAACCTACTAGCCTTCGTGAGCCAACGGGAATGTGCTATTGGCCCTGGTTTCATGTTAGCTAAGTCTGTCGATACTTCTCCAGAAGCAACTGCTTAGCTATTTTTATTAAATAACTTGAGTCAGTTGTCGATTCAGCAGGACTTAAATCAG